GTGATCCACCCGCCTCGGCCTCCCAAAGTGCTGGGATTACAGGCTTGAGCCACCGCGCCTGGCCTAACAGTGTTTTTTATCCCCAATTTAGCCACAGAGATGGCCGTGTCAGAGTCGTGAGAGTAATCATAGTGGAGTTAACCTTTACGGAGAGCTTCCTGTATGGCAAGCAACATTCACAGTACTTTACAGGTATGACCAGTCCTATGAGGTAAGTCCTATTCTCCTTGTCATTTGAAAGAAGAGGAAACTGAGTTACCAAAAAGGTAAGTGCCTTGATCAACGTAGCTTTTCAGCATTAATATACATCATTCTTATCTGGATTGTTTCAGTATTTCTGTACATGGTGATTCTTTTAATTTGCATCAGATCTTAAAGAATTAAGACCTTTCTCTTATACAGATTAAACATTGACCACTGACAAAGACACTTCTGCTCTGAATATGAAATCCTGTGCTTGGTTGGTCTTGGGGCCCACTGTGGCAAAGTTCTGTAGACTCTGTCCCACACTCCGTCATCAAAATGGTTCTATATTACAGTTCTAATTCCCAAGTACAGCGCTGTCACCTACTGCCCCAGTCAGTTGTAGAGTTTGCCACAAGTAATTTGTTGTAAGTAATTAAGTTCTGAAGTTTGCAAATAGAGCACTTTTCATGTAAACTGGAGTAGATGTGAGACTATCCTTGCCTAAGGTCACCTCACTCCCACACATTCCCTTGTGCTCTCAGAGTAGGAGAGAAGCAGGTGAAGCCTTCACAAATTTGTGGAGGAGGGTTACCAGCCCACAGCCCATCCTGCCTCTGTACCCAGGGAGGGGGTAGTACATGCATACGTGTGGGCCTCTGCAGGAAAAGCATGGGGAGCTACAACTCCAAATGGAAGGAATGAAAGGGGAGGAAACAATGAAAAATACTGAAGAGTAGGAAAAGGTGTTCCTGCCTCAACGCAACTGAAAAAACAACTAGACATTTTTGTTTTAGTCGTTTTTCCTCAATTAGCATCAGGAAGCTAAATTCAGTTCCCTACCAAAAAAAATAGCTATGCGTGCCCAGCAGGGAGAGATGATGGAAGCACCATGTTGACATGTTTATGTCTTAGCATGTCAAAGGCTATCAAGATGGCCATGAAAAGAATGGAACCTCCTAAAATCTTTATGGTTAAAGAAATGTTTTCTCATCAATGAACAGCTTGTCAAGGCCAGATAAGCAGCATGAAAAGCAGAGAAAAAACTTTTGTTTGCTTATTTAGAGAATTGTTCTCAATGATTCATCTGCTTACAATTTCCAGAAAGAAATTGCCATCCCTTGCCCACTGACTGGTTGCGAAAGGTCTCTTACAGTGTTAAATTGTCCTTTTTCTTCATTAATCTTTGCATCTTATATTAAGAATGTTCTTGCATGGTAGTGAGCAGTTAGGGCCACTCTCTGCTAATGAGGTCAAGGTTAGGGACTATAAACCTAATTCAGATAGCTAACTCATTGTATTTTATAGTTTAGAAGCTGGACACCTAATCCCAGATAGACATCTTCCAACCAATTTAATGCCTATGTTCCAGGCCAGTGCCAACCTAGCCCCTTCTAGAGAAGTAAATCAAAGCAATGTCATTTGGGTATATCTTGGTATATAAATGGTAAATCACTGTTATTCTCCAGTATCAAATAATAAATTTTTTTTTTCTATTTAAGGGCAGCCTTATCGATAATAGTATTCCCAACTTTTAAACTCTTCCTGTGGTTTTCAGGGGTGTTAAATCTTTTGGCTTCCTTGAGCTACATTGGAAGAAAAAGAATTGTCTTGGGCCACACATAAAATACACTAACACGATAGCTGTTGAGCTTTAAAAACATCGCAAAAAAAATCTCATAATGTTTTAACAAAGTTTACGAGTTTGTGTTGGGCCATGTTCAGAGACATCCTGGGCCGCATGTGGTCCGCGGGTTGCAGGCTGGATGAGCTCGATGTATGTGGCAGACCCTCCCTGCTTTTGCAGGCTCCTGCCCCAAATGACTTTTGATGGGGATTAATATCAAAGGAGCGTCTACCTTTACTCAATAATCCTCTAAATTTTGAGGTGGTCTTTCTAATGTGGAATACATTTTTAAAAAATGTTTTTGTCTTTTTTTTTCTTGACAAAGGTAACTTATTTGCATTATTGAAACCCTTAAAAATGCAGAAAAATATAAACAAAAATATTAAACCTCCTATGGACGATGTAGGAAGAGTTTTTGGAAATAACTCTGACTGAATAATAAGGCAACTTTTTGCATTTAAGTAATTTGATTGAATTATCGACAGTCCCCAGTGATTGACTTTTACACTGCAGAATGACTCCTATCTCCCTGTGCCATTGTTTTCACATAGTTGTTTATTTAAAAAACTGTTATAACTGTTTTCTGTTGTATAAATGCCAATCTCTGCTGAGAAATGCCATCAGATGCTTTTCTGTAAATCATAGCATAGAATGTATCCTACTCTCAAAAACTACTGTCGTTAAAATATTATTGTCCTTGTAACAGAAGAAAGAGGTTGATAATTCTGGAAATGAAATATTTCAGAAGAATCATGAATGAATGAACAGTAGTATTTACTACTTGAATAGACAAAAATAAATTAATGAATTAGAGGATATAGGACATAAATATACCTAACATCTAAGGTCCATAACCTCCACAAATCATAGTTGTAGAAAACCTTATTTCAAAATGGTGTGATGGATAAATAGTCTTAAGCCATTTTCATTTTTCTTGATTTACCTTGGTAGTGGCAGAATTTAATCATGTTTCCACTCTTAATAAGTCAAAGTCAGGGGACAACTGATTCCATCTCATGCTTCTACACGTATCAGGAAGAAGAAACGACATTTCCATGCCTCTAAAGCAGAGATGCTTCTTTAGTACAGGATAATGATTTCTAGTTCCACTCCAATTCTAAACTTTTCAAAGAATGGAAGGCAAGAAAAGGAATGAGGAAGATAGAAAGGACCAGGCAGACTTTATGAAAACTTAGGAGATCTCAGTAGGTGAACGGTCTGATGCACAGCAGGTGATCAACTCTTCCTTTATCATTGGCAAGCTTCCACAGGCAAGTGCACATCCTGCTGAAAGTGAGGAAGAAAATGATCTGTCCACACCCACTGCCTGGAGAAAGAATGATCGCTTGCTAGAATCTGGATGACTTCAGGCCTAGCCAAACGCCAGCTATGCTAAGGGAAGCTGAGGTTCTTGTCCTGGAGAATTGCAGAATGGTGGGAGAATGTATTGTCTAGACACTTGCATTTCTCAGAGTTTGAATGGAAGTGTATTCCCAGGTTTAGTAATAGCCCAGCATCCTCTCCTTATGAATAAGGCATGTGTGTCTAACAGAGAAAGTCTTAACCCTTGAGAGGCAGGGAGGCATAAGGAAGAACCAGAGACCTGTTCAGTGACCCCCACCTTTGTTCACTTACAAACTTGCTGTGTGACCTTGGACAAATCACTTCATCTCTGGGTCTTTGGTTTCCTAATGAGTGTAATGAGATCCTTTCCAGTTCTAACTCTCTGCGATTCTCCTCATATGTGGGACTATAAACCCCAATGCTGCTTACTGGTCCTGCAAATGACGTTCAGATAAAGAGTTGGTGCTTGTTGGTTTTTAGTTTGGCGGCCACAGACTCCGGGTTTTGTAACAAAAGTATATTAGTCTTTTCTTGCACTACTATAGAGAAATACCTGAAACGGGGTAATTTATAAGAAAAGGAGGTTTAATTGGCTCACAGTGCCACAGGCTGTGTAGGAAGCATAGTGCTGCATCTGCTTTTAAGGAGGCATCATGGTAGAGAGCAAAGCCAGAGCAAGCATCTTATGTGGTAGGAACAGGACCATGTGACGGGAGGAGGTGCTACTATTTTTTTTTTTTTTTTTTAGACAGTCTTGTTCTGTCGCCAGGCTGGAGCACAGTGGCACGATCTGGGCTCACGGCAACTTCTGTCTCCCAGATTCAAGTGAGTCTCCTGCCTCAGCCTCCCAAGTACTGGGACTACAGGCACATGCCACCACGTTCAGCCAATTTTTGTATTTTTAGTAGAGAGTAGAGATGGGGTTTCACCATGTTGGCCAGGATGGTTTTCATCTCTTAATCTCGTGATCTACCCGCCTCAGCCTCCCAAAGTGCTGGGATTACAGGCAGTAGCCACTGTGCCCGGCCCAGTGCTACACATGTTTAAACAACCAGATCCCACAATAACTCACTCACTCAGGACCAAGAGAACAGCGCGGAGGGCTGGTGCTGAACCATTCATGAGAATTCTGTCCCCATGATCCCATCACCTCTACCAGGCCCCATCTCCAATACTGGGGATTACAATTGAACATGAGATTTGGGTGAGGACACAGATCCAAACCATATCAAAAACCAAGTGCATATACCACAGCTTCATTGTTTTCTTCTTCCAGTTCACACACAGCAATACTAAAACTTACCTTTTTGACAGTGGAAGAACTATAACAATGATGACAAAAAAGTCACTTCAATAATAATGAGACGGGAGAGTGCTCTGGCCCCCACTTGCAGGGTATGTGACAAAAGGTGCAGCTCTCTGTTCGACTGCCATGAGCTCAAACCCCTTACAGGAGGGGAGCATGCAGACAGGCAGGTGCAGGTATTGGGGCTCTGGCCACACAGCAGTGTCTAGGGGCAGGTTCCTATGACCCCAGTGTTACAGTGCTCTTTTTATTAGCTCTGCCATCCACAGAGGGCTTAAGTGTTAACCAGCTCACTGGCCCCTTGGTACCCAGCACCCCAAAAGAATTGGGTCACACATGGACTTGAAAGATGAATGCAGGGGTTTTATTGCATGGTAGAGGTGGCTCTCAGCAGGATACATGGGGAGCTGTAAGTGGGGAGCGAGTGGGAAGATGATCTTTTCCTGGAGTTTGGCCATCCAGTGGCCAACTCTTCTCCAACTATCCCCAGCCAACCTCCTGTGTTCACATGCTCCTTCTCTTCTGTCTTCCTCTGCGGTGATGTTCCACCGTTTGCTTCTCTCCTCATCTCCTAGTCTGCCTCTGGAGCCTGGAGTTTGGGGTTTATGTGGGTACAGGATAGGGGATGTAGTGGCCAAAAGGCAACTTTTTGGGAGCAAAACCAAGAATGCCTGTCCTCATTTAGGGCTGCGGGTATCCAGGCTTGAGGGTGGGGCCTTTGCTGGGGAACCGCCCTCTTCTACCCACTATTTCCCCATCTCTTGTCTGTATCAGTAACTCACTCAAGCTTACTTTTGAAGTCTCTTTTCTTTCTTTCTTTCTTTTTTTTTTTTTTTTTTTTTTT